CATATTTGAGAGAGCGCATATGTCCCAGATTTATGGGGTATCTCAAGTAAATGCCAAATTCAACCGGCTAAAAATATATGTACATATGAAGCTGAACTTGTGTGATCTCTTTCATAAAATATCCCGATTTTACCAAAATTTTGACTTGTGGGATTTCGCAAATAACACTGTAGGGAAACCTCAAGTTTAAAATTATACAAAAAACGACGAAACACTTAAACTTAACTTTGAGTCGTCGATTACGAATCTGTATTCTGTTTCATATTTTATGAAAAAAAAAAAAATTCAAATTTTAACAGGGCAAAAATAATAAAAAAAAAGTTTTTGTACATTTTTGCATGTCCTTTACAAAAACATCAAATTAATAATGAATCGAACCAAGGAATAAATAAAAAAAGTTGTGAATGGTCAAATTAACATACGTAATAATTTTTTTTTATGAAATATGAGCAGGGCGTTTACTTGTAATTCGATTCGAAAGTATTTTTGTCCGAAAACTTATTTTACGTACCCCCTACATAGTTCGAAATCGAATTGAAAGATTCCGTTCTCGGATTGCCATATTTGATTTACGGATATGAGCAGCTACGTAAACCGCATTTGATTTTCAACGTTACTCGAAAATTGAAAATTTATTCGAAAGCGTATGAGCAACATTTGTTTGTTTGAATTTCTTTTCAATCACAATACAAAATTTAAATGAAAATATCTTTAGAAAATGACATGATCTAATAAAATGACTCAAAATTAAGTTTACGTGTCTCCGCATTTTTTGTGCCATTTCAGCGTGCCTACAGTGTAATCGATTCATATTTGATTAGCATTTGTGTACATAAAATCAAGTTTTAATTTTTTAGGTGCAATTTCCTGCATTTATTCATATGTTTTTTTATTTGAAAATTTGGTTTTCCAACCCAGAGTGTCATCCAGCTCTCAAACTTTCATTCTCCGATCGCTCAATATTTTCTCCATAGATTTTACTGAGGACTTCTGGTGTGACGCTATTTTCGCTTAAGTTAAAATATTTTTTCCTTACCCTTACTTGTGTAATCCAGTTTATTTTAGAGTCAACTCTCTTAGTAAAAGAGCTGTCTAAGAAAAAATCGAAAAGGCGTTGTCGCAGGGTAGTAAAACAAACTAAAAGCGAATTCCATTAATTTAACACAAAAATTCAATTACGCACAGCACTCCCACCAAAAACAGATGGATGATCGGAATATCGGAATATAATTGCAAAACTACAAAAGGAATTTGTCTATAATTAATTTTCTAACTACTCGCGGCGGCAGCAGTGCGAAAAACTAGCGGCACACCTAAGTATTTATAACTATGCAACAATGTGACAGCACCTTGCTAAAAGTATTTGTTACAAAAAATAAAATAAAATTCAAGAAAAAGGTGATTCTCATTTCGCTAAATGGCGCGGTGAGTGGGCGGGTGTGATTGCTACTGAAGTCCTATCCTATCCTATGCCACTGCTAACGGCGAGTGCAACATATAAATTAAATTGAATATTCGCGCACAATTTATCGTTGCAAACACGGGAGATGCAAAAAGTGCGCGGTGCTTAGAGGGTGAAAAAGTTTGCTAATCACGCTTAGTTTGCGCTTTTCATGCTAATCAAGCAGTTACGTTTGCTTCGGTTGTGCAAGGACATGCAATAAATATGTAAGTCCTGCAGTGTTGCACTATGAACGAGTACAAGCAAGCGAGTGCTTTATGTTCAGCTGTCGTTGTTAGTGAGCGGTATTTGACAAGCTTGATGTGCGCATTTTCTGGAAATATATATGTATACAGAAGTATGTATGGAGGTGTAGCTGATGACGCTTGCTTGCTTGAGCGTTTTAATTTTTTTTTTGGCGTAAACTTTGTTTAGGTTTTCACATAGTTTTTGTTTCGGCCAATTCACTTCTCCGCACCAAAGCGACTAGTTGCCAGCTTGCTTTGTGTTAGCTGCTTTGTTCCTTGCACTTGTCAACTGCAAGTACTTTTTATTTGTTGGGAACTTTGAGTTTGGTGAAAGCTGAATTTATTATTTTGTAATTTTTTCAGACACTTTTAAGTAACTTTCGTTGTTGAGCGTCATGTTTGTTCGTTCTTTGTCCTTTATAATTTAGATTTCAAAAAAATCTAGTTGGCCTCTTTAACCTGTGTGTGACCTCTAAATTTTTTTCGTGCAATGAAAAATACTTTAGCTCCTTTTAGCTTACATAAAAAAAAAATTTTTTGTTTAGTATTTTGCAGACCAGTCCTAACTTTTAAAAGCTACTTTAACTTTTTTTTTAATTTCTCTGAATAGTTCTCACTTGAATTTTTATTAAAATGCATAATTCTAATGTATTTTTGTCCATAATAAAACCCCGCTTTTAATACTTTCGTTCTATTTGGCTGAATGGCGCAACTGCAAGTATATTTCCGCTTAAGTGCGTTCAGTTATTATGAGGCATATTTTAATATTGCCAGCGTCCAAGTCCTAATTGATATCTCTAGGAAATGTCATTACTTAGCGTTAACTTCCTGATGAGTTTTTCTATTTTCAATTCAATTATTCCACTTACTCACAACAAAAATAGTTAATAGTTAATAACTTTTGCAAGCCAAGCCAGAATAAACGCATCCATCCGGGGTCGAGTTTTTGGAGGTTATCTGCATGAAAAATTTCCGGTTATCAGAATTACAGTAAAAGCACTCACCCTTGATAAAGTGACATTATTTTCCTATTTCTTAAAAACTGGTATTAATTGGAATATGCACAAAAAACATTCACAAATTCTACGCAAAACTTTAAAATCTATATAAAAGTACGCTAATAAAAAAACACGGTTTTCTGAATTCTTTCAAAATATTCGTTCCTAAGAGACATGAAAAAGCAAGTGATCTCTTGCAGCTCACATACAACATACATTTTGGTTGTGTTAGTCTTAACGCTATGAAGTTTAAGAAAAAAGCTCAGCATATCGTATGTGGCACAGTTTTTTTTTAGAAATATTTAAGATAGTAGAAATTATTACTAACTGATTTCTAAAAGCGTTTTCGCAAAACTTTTTATGTTTCTAATGGTTGGAGGTGTCCTAAATGAATATTCCAATGTTACTCATACGCCACGTTGGTTTTTCCTTACACTGTTCGGCAGTCGGCTGGCGAATTGATGAAACCAAGTTTTTCTGAGAGTCTGGACTGTATATAGAAAAGTTATTTCTCAGTTTTCCTAGGTTGGCGATTTTAGTTTTTTTTTTCAACTGAAATTGGTGGTCGCAGAGCAGCTTCTAAAGCAATGAAAATAATTTAAATGCAAATATTTATACTATCAAAAGGCCTTTCGGAGTGGTTTTGTGTACGAGACATCTGAATTTGCAACTTATTTTTGCCAAAACGACCGCTGTATGCGCATTGCTGAAAACAAAAACATAAGGGATCATTGTCAAGAAACATTGTTTGCATTTTGGCAAAAATCAATTGCAAGTTCAGATTCCTCGGACCCTAAAGCCCTTCGAGAGGGCTTTTGATGGTATAAATATTTGCCTTTAAATTACTTTTTTGTCGGCCGCTGTGGTGTAGTGGTAAGCAGTGCGCGCTTCCACTCCGCAGCACCCGGGTTCAAACTCTAGCCAAAGCAACATCGCAAAAAATATAGAAAAAAGGTTTTTTCTTAACAGCGGTCGTCCGTCGGCAGGCAATGGCAAACCTCCGAGTGTACTTCTGCCATGAAAAACAGCTTCTCATAAAAATACAATCGCCGTTCGGAGTCGGCGTAAAACTGTAGGTCCCTCCGCTTTGTGTGACAATATCAAGGCGCACGCCACAAGTCGGAGGGGAAGCTCGGCCAAATAATAACATATGTGTAAGCGCAAATCTATTATTATTATTATTATTATTATTATTGAATTACTTTTAATTGTTTTAAATGTGCTCTGCGATCACCAACTTCAAATTGAAATAGGACGCTTAAAATCGCCAACTTGGGAAAAAGAAGAAATTACTTTTCTATATATAGTACTTATTGGTGATATCAATAGCATCACCATTTCATTTTGATATTGTTTGCCTATCATGTTTATTTATTTATTTTTAAGAATGCAGTTCATTCTCTAACAAAACGCATATAAACCCAACTTTAAAATTTTATAGAAAACTAAAAAAAATATTCAAAAAATGTTCATCGAAATTTCAAACTTTTTTCGCAGAAGTGTTACAATTTTTTTGAGTTTACAGTATTATAGCCCACTAAAGTTCCAGTAATGTGGAAGTTTCAAATGGCTAAACATTACCCATGACTTTTTAGAATTTTTTGCCGAAGGCGTTGCGGTTTTCTTCCATATAAAAATAAATTGTGTTTGCTCTTATATGGAAGCATATGCGACAAAAAACTCTCAAAAATCAACGGTAGTTTGTAGCCACTTGTAACTCGCGGCTGCTGTAGTTTAGTGCTTAGCAGTGCGCACTACCACTCCGCAGGACCTGGGTTAAAGCCCTGGTTACAGCAACATCGCAAAAAAAAGGTTTTTCCTTAACAGTGGTCGCCCCTCGGCAGGCAATGGCAAACCTCCGAGTGTATTTCTGCCATGAAAAACAGCTCCTCATAAAAATTGCTATTCGGAGTCGGCGTATAACTGTAGGTCCTTTCCTTTGTGTAGAAGCTCAGTAAAACACTAACACATTGGGTGGGTGGGTGCTAAACGAAAACGTAATCTTTATTTTAAATATATATGTATGTATTGCATCCACCTGAATGTAAGGGGCTACTACTAGTATTGCTAAATGTTTGGTTAGTCTTTTCAGATTTTTCTCCTGAAACCATACCATACTGATGCTGCAATTTAGCCAGCTATATATAAATATGTAAATAATGAGCGAATGCATACAATATAAAGATAATTTTTATTTTAACACATCTTTCGAAATCGAAATGAAATTACTTTACTTAAACTTTTTTTAATTGAATGCTTACAAAAATTGTTTGCTTTTATGAACTTCTACTTTTTCATTACCATATTTTACAGCCTTGCGGGCAGCTTTGCTGATCCAGCGTTGGTATCGGCGCTATAGAGCGCGCATGGAAGTTCGTCGTCGCTATACATGGAATATATTTACAAGTCTGGAATACGCTGGAGAAAATGATCAAGTTGAGGTAAGCTCAATCATTTTATATTTATGTATGTGTATGTATGTATATGCGTATAAGAAAACATAACTAGCGTTGGGTCATTAAAACATATTTTTTTGTTTTTACGAGACACCTAGTAGCCAGAGTCCCTGATAAAGTGCCAAGCACTTTTAATGCTTCAAATGTCAATAAATTAAATTTAACAGCGGTGTTGCAAAATGTACAAAAATAAACAGATGATGAAACTAAGAAAAACCGCAGAATTTTCCGCAAACGTGTTGGTCTCATTTTGCTGTCTTAAATATAGCGAAGCATACATATGTACATATGTGAGTTTGTGGGTACACAAATACACGCTTGCACGTGTATGTAATTTTCCTCAATGCACTGTTGCTTTCTTTGCAGGTTTCCACTTTGTTGCTTTGTCTAATTGCTCGTGTTTAGCATTTTATTTGAATGGCTGTTCTTAAAAATATTCCGCTTTTGTTAGCAATTCTCTTTTTTAACCGACTTCCAAAAAAGGAGGAAATTATCAGTTCGTCGGAATATATATTTTTTTTTTTATGTATGTTACCGCATAACTTTGGACCACGTCAACCGATTTCGATAATTATATTCGGAAAGGTAGTGTCTCAGAGGTGGTCCCATACTAATCTGGTTTAGATCATGAAATCTACGTATATATATATTTTTTAAGTCGATTTTTTTTTGCTAAATATTACACACACACATTTCCATAAACGGACTAGAGGTATAAAATAATTTTTATATATATTTATATATATATACAGTGACGGGCAAAACTGTAACATGGTGTAACACTTTTTACTTCAGCCATCGCTATCTTTCCAAGTTCTAACGACTTTCATAATTTTGCTGTATATTCTTGTTGTTACATCCCTACTCCCTCTCTCATAATGATTTGAAGTCAATACAACAACAATAAAAAAACCAGCCGACAAAAATGTAAATTAAGGCAGATGTTACAGTTTTGCACTCATATATTTTTAAGAACAGTTTAACAATTTTCACGAAAAAAAAGAACTACTAACACAATGTTCAGTACTCTTTTGCTTGTTTCAGTTCCTGGATGCGATTTGGCATACCTTATTTGTATCTTTGTAAAAAATCTGGAGGTATATCCTTAGTTTGCTTTCACAGCTCATGTACTCGATTTTTCGGACTTTGATTCTATTAAGCTGTGCTTTTAGTTGATTTCGCAAATTCTCGATGAGATTCATGTCCGCGGATTGTGGAGGTTATTTCAAATTAGTAAATTTTGGCTTTTGTATCTAGTCTTTGCGAACATATGCAGTATGTTTTGGGTGATTTTTCAGCAGAAACTCTCATTTTCCGACTACATCTTGCAAATTTTGTTGAAATAAGAACATATACCGTTCCTTACGCATAATGCGTACTAACGAACCAACAATATTTTTGAAATACAACCCCAAACAATTAAGATCCTACCACTGTGATTCACAGTTTGCCGTACATGATGCGCTTAGGCTTAATTTGGGTCTTTGATCCAATACCATGCCCGGCCATCTGATTGAAAGCGATTAATTTAGTCTTGTAACAGACCAAATAACCTTCAATTGAAACTTAAAAATATGTTTTTTATTGCATTCTGAACGGCCTAACATATCCCAATAGGCAACGGGTCGGTGTTCGTGCGATGCAGCGAAATGCTGCCACGCTCGCACATGTATTATCAAAATTGCTTTTTTCCTTTTATGATGCCTTTGCGCTCAATTTGGCAATTCTTCGCCTCGGTGTCTATTGATTTGCATTAAACTTTAATACCTTAAGCGCTTCTTTAATAGTGGCTGCATCGCTACTTGCTGCTAAGTTCACAAGATATCGTACCGTAATATTTTTTAACAGACTTCCTTTGTCTTTGGGAACACTTTAGGCTATATTTTTTCTAAGTCTTAACATTTTCAAGTAGCAAATTCCAAAATTTTTTGCCACTTTTCGTGCGGTTCCGCCTTTTCGCAGTAAATCTATTATTTACATTTATGGTTCCTGATTAAGTATGCTATTTACTGGCGATCACTTCTTCAATAAATTACAATATAGAAAAAAGTCATCTGTCTTCCAAATAAGCAAAAGATAACTGTCAAATGCAAAACTGAGAGTGAGTGCAAAACTGTAACATCTGCCTTAATTTACATTTTTGTCTGCTGGTTTTTTTATGGTTGTTGTATTGACTTCAAATCGTTATGAGAGAGGGAGTAGGGATGTACCAACAAGAATATACAGCAAAAGTATGAAAGTCGTTAGAACTTGGAAAGATAGCGATGGCTGAAGTAAAAAGTGTTACACCATGTTACAGTTTTGCTCGTCACTGTATATATTTTTTTTTTAAAGTCGTTTTTTTTTCTTTTTGCTAAAAATTACTAGAGGACTAGAGGTATAAAATAATTTTTTCTACACCTACCGAAGTGCAGAGTGCTTATAGTGTTAGCGTCGTTGGGGTGAAGGTATACAGGTGTTTATAGTTTGTAACATACGGAGCGGTGCTGCACTAGAGTGACTCTACTCTATGCCGATGGGTGGAAATTAGTACGAAGTTGTCCTTGAATGTAGAATCTACGACTCCAGTCGTGCAGGGTCCATCTTATGTGTGCGGAGGGCGGGTCGTTTCAAAGAGAAGCGTTGTTCTATTTCATAGTGTTAAACTCTACCATAACCAACATCTAGTCTTCAACATGGCATGGCAGTTGTACGTGTAACTGCGTTTTACCTCTTTCGAAAGTTTCTCAACTACGTTTTTTTTGCTCTAATGTCGGAAGTACACCCATAGTTCACCACAGATTGGGAAATTGTTTGTTAGTCGTTAGAAGAGTATCTTTACCAAAATTCTATGTATCAGCTGTCTGGTAGCGACTTCACGAATTTGGGCCTTGCTTTTTGAGAAAGAGTACAGGAGAATGGTTGCATGCGCAGAAGCTTATGCAAATGGGGAGCGCTTTTGACTGTCGTTCACTTTAGAAGAGCCTTGCTTATGGTACAGCCAAGAAATCTTTTGAAAATCTTTGAAGTCGGCAAATAACCACGCCCGCCTCCCAATCAACGGTAATTTACAGAAACATGAAAACTGCGAAAAATCAATGATTAATGAAGCTAATTAACTCAAAGTCGATTATTACAATAATCACTTAGCAGAAAATTATTAGATTATTATTGATTTTTAGGTAATGGCCCTGGCGCCGCCCACTTATGACCACAAATCTGTATCTCTGTGATCGATTTATCAATTTTACCAAACTCGGTGTACTTAATGACCTTGGTACTGGAAAGCAATTCGTTGGAAATTATTCAAATCGGACTAAAGTTTACACCTCCTTTCCGTATAACGGTAAATTTCAGAAATACGAAAACACTGATAAAATTCGGTTTCGCCCGAACTTATACATTTTTTTTTTTTTTAAATTTTCTGGGCGCCTTTCAGTAAAATTTTCCCCTCATATCCCCTCAATCATAGTGACCTATTTTATTGAAATGCTTGCTAGAGTGCTTGCAATTATTATTAGAGGTATTTCGTATTCTCGTTTCAAATATTCACAACAAATTGCTCTACACTTTATTGCATATTTCGTTGGTACAATGCATACATATCTCAAATATATTAATGCCAAGTCCACATTATGGCCTGCCAAAGCATTTCTGAAATACTGATTGTTTGTCTGTTAGATTTTGTTATACATATTTTTGAATACATATTACACTGCATTCATGCTTTATATATTTACTCGTTCACAACTTTTGTATAAATCCCTCAAATAAATAAATATTTCGCAAATACTATAATTTTCCGCTTTAATAGCTTCACATAAATTATATTCCACTTCCTTTTGTCTACTTTGCTATTTTTTTCACAAACAACTCACTCACACAGCTGGCCATCACATCACGTTTGACCTTTACAATTGTCTGCATTGCCACAAAGAGAAAAAGAGTATGCATTAAAAATTACACGCGAACTCACAAGGAAAATAAATAAATAGAATAGAACTGGCATATTCGCCAGTGGGCTACCCCATAAACAATTTCATACCCCATAAATAATTTCATACATATTACTATGTACATTTATGTATATTAGACTGCATCACCAAAAAAAGTTGCGGTTTTTCCACCGGGATTACAAAATCTATTATATTTTAAGACGTATAGCAAAATATTTCGGAAAAATATTAAGATTTAAAAAATGGATTTTTTTATGAATAAAAATGGTTTCTTAAAGAAGTTTTTGAAAAAAGTCCCCTCAGATGACAAATTAGATTAAGCTTAAAAAATCTGCATAAAAATATTTAAAAATCTTTTCAACGGAATCGTAAGAATGAGATTTTTGATGCTGTTTTTTTACTTTTTTCAAAGATTGATTTACGAAAAACTTGAATAACTGGGCCAAAACTATTTTTGATTTAGACTTATGGGATCTCAGTAGAAAGGTATTTTTACACTGTTTTTATTTTGTGTACAAGAAAAATTCATTCGTGTTTCCCCATTTATTTTCAAATACCCACACATCTTAATTCAACTTTGAATGATGTTCGTTCATCCTACCTTTCTCTTTCATCATTTGAATGACTTTATTAGCAAAGAAATAAAAAGGGTGAGAAAACACCTTTCCAATGACACCTCTTAAGTCTAAACCGCAAGAGTTTAGGTTCAGCTACTCAAATTATTCTTATAGCAATCTTTGAAAAAAGTTAAAAAAACAGCATAAAAAATCTCAGCATTACGATTCCGTTAAACTTTTTTTTTTTATTTTTTAATACTTTTATGCAAATTTTTTAAGCCTTAACCGTTTTTTCATTTAAAGGGATTTTTCAAAAAAAAAATCTTTAAGAAACTAGTTGTATTCATAAAAAACTCCATTTTTGGAGGTATTTTCAAATCGGTCCAGCTCACCTAAATCTTAACAATTTTCCGAAATATTTTGGTGGACGTCTTAAAATATAATAGATTTTATAATTCTAATGTAAAAATAGTACCGATGTTTATTTTTTTTTGTATGGGGAGTGATGCAGTCTAATGTATCATATTTAAGCCAGTGAGCAGACCTTTGCTTCGGGGCAGCCCAGCGCTCACTTCACAGCAGTGTGCGTTCAGCTCGCCATACTTCGAATAAACTGCATTCTACCCTTACAAGCCATTGGCGCGCTGTGCCATCAGTGCATAATTAAATGTGGTCGGCGCTGCGGCAACGTACATACTTTTGTATACGTGCATGCAGTTGGAGTCCCCCGTGTCTGGCGCTATGCTTCCAAAACAAATTCGCTTTTTTTTGTTTTAGTAACTTTCATTTATTTTGCTTTCTCCTTTTTTTGCAATTTTCTTTGCGGTTGGACATCGAAAAGCGCGCGACCACTCTAACGCTTCTCTCTCCCCATTGCTTGCGGTCAAGTGAACTTAATGGCGTTGTTTTGTGCGCTTGTGTTCGTGCCTTCACCAGCAGTTCATTTCTAATTTAATTTCATGTTTCAAATATTCAATTTAGTTTTAATATCATTGTGTGTTGGGGTATGTGTCATTTAATTCTGGTTTTCGTTCATGATTTACTAGAGAAAATTACTGTCATAAAAGTGGTGAAATCACGAACTAGCAATTTATTTTATAGTGACCACCAAAAACTGCAAGGGAGTTTTCAAGTGTGGACTATTAGCAATAGCAACTCGTTTTCACATATTTACCACTTTTTTTCGTTTGTATGTACTTAAATGTGAACCTTTAAAACTCACAGACCCAGCAAATAAAAAAATATATGTTTGTACGCTGTACATACAACTTTTGAGCTATAATTTACACTTTATCCGCCTCAAGATTGCTAACGTACTTGTAAGATATCATTATGTAAAAAAAATTTGTTATGCCATTTTCAATGTCGTTCGAGTTGTCGTGAATTGTGCTTGCATGACAGTTGCCTTGCCCTTGACCTTCAGTTTTTACATCTCTAGTCAAATTTAATTTTTATATACTATACATACAAAGAATTTCCTGCAGCAATTTTTAAACATGACTACCCCTTTCTCAGTTTTTGTTTAAGCTGTGGACTATTAATATGAAACCTTTTAAAAATATTATAGAGAGACCGTATGCACTACTTGTATAGCGCTCATGATTTCAAAGAATATTCTTAAAAATGTTTCCAAGCTTTTTCTTCATATCCATTTTGGCATTATTATCTACCTTTAGAATGAAAATACCCGAAAAAGTAGGTAAGTAGGTAGGTGTGGTGCCACTAATAGTGTAGAAAGCTTAAGACAGCTTTGCCCACGGGTAAAACAGTGCCCATCAGTGATTTAGTGTCTCTGACGAATCCCTACAGGGATTTTAGATTTGAATCCGCCACTCCACTTACATATGTATATCGTCAAAAAAAGGCAACTCCAGGTGCGTAGTTCCCTCATGGACAGTGCAGAGCAGTCAGAGAGAAGATGAGAAACTGTCACCTGCTCCACATTGTTTTTGTTGCACCATCTGCATGATTAACGTGCTGCAAGCAGCTCGAAAGTCCTGGAAGACTCTGCTTGGTCGTGTACCTCTCAACTAATAATATTTCACCCTTTTAATATTAATATTTAGAGTTTTTCTCTAGATTATTTAATATTCATTATAAATATAAATGAATAAGTTTGTAATATTTTTAGAAAAATTTCGGATATGCCGTTTTGTAGCCGAATAATTTTCAGTATAAAAAATGCACGTTTCAAGTGGCTGTCAAATAGCGTTGAGTTTTGGAATTTTTTTTTTTTTGTTGGCGGTGCTGCGCATATTTGAGCATATCGGTCGGAAGAAGGTGAAATTGGTTTAAAATGCAAGGGTGTGAGTGTCCCAGTGCTTTTAGTGCCTCTGCGAGGTCCCTTTTAAACGAACAACAGAGTGTAGCTAAAAAGGCTGTAAGTCCATTTGGAGCTAAAAAATTGATTTTTTTGTTTATAAGCCCTAATAGTTATTATTATTGCAATTATTACGTAATATACTTTTTAGAGAGTAGGAAACATCACCCGCATTGATTAAAGTGTGCTCTATTATTTATACATGAATAAAGTCGCAAACCCATAAATATCTCGTTACACGAAAAAATGTGCTTGTGGCATTTTCAAAAAACAAGGAAACGGCACATAGTGCACATTTTAGATGAATTCCCAAATATAAGATTTAATAATAATTTACACATTTCTGCCTAGGACTTTATAATATGGTTAGTTGAAACACGTAAAAAAATTATTTACTTTTCTTTGCAGCTATACAACTTCTTCAATGCGTTACTTACACACATTCCCGAAGCTGCTGCTTCCCATCGCCCATCAATACAAAAGGACTCAGAGATATCATTAGGTAATTACGAATATGTTGTTTAAATGGTATACTTATTTATATTGTGCACTTTTTTTACTTATGTAAGAATGTTTTCATTCCCTATCTACGCGAATGAGAAGTGTAATTAGAAGTATAATCATCGAGAAGCAGATAAAATGATCCTGTCATGTTAGAAATATTCATATACATATCTACATATGTAAATAAGTATAAATATATATTTATACACACACTTACACACTTGTAAGAATTTATTCTTTGTATTTGCTATCAAATATAAAGTAGATTTTACGTAAATTCTGCAAAGATGCAAAGAGGATGCAATTTGGATTTGAAACTTCTGATTTTTTATTTTGACTTCCAATTCTTGATGATTTTTGGCTGCATTTTAAAGTTGCACGCAGTAAAACGAAGTTAAAAGTGAATTTTCGGCTCCAAATGGCATCCACGGCCATATTAATAAAAAAAATAATACGCATACTTTTGACACACCCTGTATATTAGTTTGTACGTGCGTATGTATATGCTCATTTCTCATTGTATGTACTCGTATTACTCTATTTGTATCGCTAATTCTTCACCTCTGTCTCTCTCTCTCATATTGTCTTTCGCATATCCTCTTCATTCCCTCAACTCGTTCCATTTACCTTGTATGTGTAACGCTTACAATACAAACATATGCTTGTGACAAATAAAATGTTGCACGAACTACAGCTTCAGATGTTTATTTCGATGAGTCAGATTTCAATGAGGATGGCGAATATCGTTCGGATAAAAATTATGATGGACCACATATAAAATTTCCACTAATTAAAAAGGATATTGTGACGCTAATTGATTTGTTTCGCAAGAAAAAGGTGAGCTAAATGTATAAAGCAATTAACTAATGCCGTTTTCTTTTCTACCGGAAAATGTT